ATTTTTTTCGTTTTTAGTTTTTCACAAAAAGACAAAAACGTTTTTGTTTTTGTTTTCTAACACAAACTTCGCCAAACGTGTTTTTCATTTCTGTTTTCAATTTTTTGTTTCGAAAAACATAAAAAATGAAAACAAAAACGGTAACAAACAGGCCCTATAATTTATGGAGGGAAGCTATTTTCACCAAATTAAATTTTAATATATATATAAATATTTAAAAGCGCCAAAATATTTTATAGTTTTTTAATATATATATATATATACCGAAGATAACTTTTTTAAAACGCTATAAAATAAATCAAAATAAGTTTTAATAGCGTTTTTTTTAAAACGCTATAATTAAACGCTATTAAAAGCCTCTTTTGTTGTAGTACACCTTTACTACCATTTAGAATACGTTATTAGTGACGTGTAAGAGTTGGAATCACCTCATTTAGAGCTTTGTGGCTTGAGTTGTGAGCATAAGAAGTTTCATATAAAAACTTTCTAAAAGCTGTCAAAAACAAAAAGATCAGAATTTTAGTTTCTTGAGAACTTGTTTTGATGTACTTAGAGAGGTTGGATTTAGGCGTATGATAGGTCGTTAGAAAGATATACATGTCTACTTTGTTTTAAAGTTGAGTTTAGAATTTTTAGAGATATATAAAATATTTTATGAATTTTTCCATTACGATCGACGAATTTACTAATTTACAGTTTTCAGGGGAATATGACTATGAGTTAGAAATTGATTTATGACTGAGCTATTGAGCTTTAATAACGATGGCCAATTTGTTTATTTTGGACAGTAGAAAGCAAAATGAACAAGGAAAGCGAAGAGAGTTAAACTCATATTTTGCTAAGCAACTCAGGTAAGTAGAGTATGATTTTTCTGCAGCACTTGTAAACTTTATTTGATAAACTTTCTATGGAATGTCTAGTATGCTATTATGTGAATTTTTACGACATTGTCAATGTGTATGTTTTGTGAAGGCATGCTTGTGCTAGTATATTGTACACATAGTAGAGCAACACGTTGAGTGTTAAATTGTTTGTGATGGAGCACATGATAGCATGCATGATAGGCCAGTACTGCCAAGTCCTCAAAGGACTCCAGTTGTGATATGGTGATTAATAAAATTGTGATTGATCCGCATAAGTCTCTCGAGCCAGGTGGGTGATGACAGAGATTATATTGTGCAATTGTGATTTTGAATGTGCTAGCCGTTCCCTCGAGCCAAGTGGGTGATGACGAGGAACCTGATATTACGATTTGAGAAATTGGCATGTGGTCAGATTGTGAAAAAGCCAGCGGCAGTACCGGGAGGGCCCTAGAGATATAACCAACATATGCATACGTGTTTCTTAGACCTAAATATCTTTCTCGCGCATGCCAACTTCGGATAGTAATGTTACCCTTTACATTAGTCTGCTTTATGCATTTCTAATTTGAAAGCATATCCACCAAAAGTACATATAGTAAAAAAGGATCGACATCTACCAATTATTAAAACTTGTTGCCTTTTATAACTTCAATTGCAATCTTCTTTGTTTCCTTATCTATTCTCAATCATTTCATAATAGTTTCTTACAATTGAAAATTTTTTCGATGGCTATATCCCTTCTTATTGTGTGGCCTGATATGTTGTCTGTAGAACCTTCCCATCCAGCTTGCCGGCTGATTGTTTCCTTGACCTTCACAGAAGTTCATTGTCGCATGGTTAAAGATTATGCTAGTGCTCTAGTATACCGAATTTTACTCTAGATAACATATTTAACGGTAAAATAAGCACCATCAAATTAACAACCTTCACAATTCATGTACATTAAGTGGCCAAACACTATGTCATTCATCTGCCATTTTGACATTAATTTTTTATTATAACACACCATCATAACAACTGTTTAGTATGTATGCAGAACAAATCTTATTCTAAACATGGGTTCAAAACCATAGTTCATGATTTTAATTTTTAAAATTCAAATTTTTTGTGAGAAAAAAACACTATAGCAAAACCAAGAACTGTGATTCTAAACTATGCAT